ACTGCTTTCAGAATTCTCTCTTTATCCTTGTTTTGCCAGTTTCACTATGATATGTCATGGTGTTGACCTGTTTTTATTGTTTTTAAAGGGAGCTCTCTGTGCCTCCTGGACTTGGATGCCTGTTTCCTTCCCCAGATTAGGGAAGTTCTCAGCTACAGTTTGTTCATTTTTGTTTTTTTTATTTTTTAACGTTTATTTATTTTTGAGACAGAGACAGAGCATGAACGGGGGAGGGGCAGAGAGAGAGGGAGGCACAGAATCTGAAGCAGGCTCCGGGCTCTGAGCCATCAGCCCAGAGCCCAATGCAGGGCTCGAACTCACGGACCGTGAGATCGTGACCTGAGTTAAAGTCAGACGCTTAACCGACCGAGCCACCCAGGCGCCCCATCAGCTATAATTTGTTCAAATAAACCTTCTGTCCCTTTCTCTTTCTTCTTCTTCTTCTTCTGGAACTCCTGTAATACGGATATTATTTCATTGCATTGAATCTCTTAGGTCTCTAATTCTCTTCTCGTGGTCTAGTAATTTCCTTCCTTTCCTTTTGTCAGCTTCCCCATTTTCCATAATTTTATCTTCTGTTTCACCTATTCTTTCCTCTGCTTGTCCCATCCTTGCTGTCCCTGTGTCTAGTTTATCTCGCACCTCATTACAGCATTTCTTAATTAATCGTGACTATTTCTTAGGTCCTTGATCCCCGCAGCAATAGATTCTCTGCTGTCTCTTGTGCTTTTTTCATGCCCGGCTATTAGTTTTACGACTATTATTCTAAATTCTTGATCAGATATATTGTATCTGTTTTGAGCAATTCTCTGGCTGTCAGTTCTTCCTGGAATTTCTTTTGATAATTCTTTCATTTTGTCATTTTAGCTAGTTTTCTGTCCTTTACATGTTTTAATAGCTTGTTATGTGTCCTGTACCTGTGAGTACTACTGTATTAAAAAGGGGTCATACACTGTTCAGGGCCTGGCAGTTCAGAAGGGGTTTTTGGAGTGTGTTACGTGCACTCTGTTCCTGTGTCTTGGCTGCTTTGTCTCACTCCTTGTAGTGGTGGATTGGATCATCCACCAGGTGTGCTTTGATTGGTTTGTTGAAGTAAACTTCAAAATGAGAAGGATGGGGGGAAGAGAAACCATATCCCAAACAGAGAGAGATGATAGGAGTGGAGAAAAAAACCAGGCAGAGAATCAAAGAAACTATAGGGTTTAATCCACAAAGAGAAAGAGGAAAATAAAGAAGAAGGAGATACAGAAAAGGTGTAAAAAGAACAGAGTAAAAATGCCTGATTAAACAAACAACCAGAACAGAGAAAAAAAGAAAAAGAATATATATATATAATTAAGAATTGACCAAAAATCAAATCAGAAACTATAAGGCTCTGTCCCGCCAAGCTGTCTCCGTATACCCCTGGACATGCCTCTGTCAGTTTGTAGCCTGGATTCCTGGAATTCCAAGTATTCTGACCTCAATACTACTGCCTTTGAGGGATGAGAGAAATTCTGGTATCCCTACTCCTCCACCATCTTGACTTCTCCCCTACAAGGTGCTTTTTAAAACTATATGATTCCTCGGAATTCCCCCTGCCACCAACGGCTTCTGCAGGGTCCTCTATTGGCACCATTGACATTTTGGATGGATAATTCTGTTACAGTGGACTGTCCTGTTCAGTATCCCTGGCTTCTTCCCATTAGATGCTAGTAATACCTCCCTGTTTTTGACAACGAAAATTGTCTCCAGACAATGTCAGATAGTCTCGAGAGGGCAGTTGGTTGAGATTCTCTGGTTGAGAATCAATAATCTAATTTATAACTGAGCTAACCAGTGTGGCCAGCCTTACACTAGTAATTATGTGATAACTTCAAATTTGAACATTTTTGTTTTATAAAGATCTCCTGGCATGAGGTGTGTAAGTCCCCCCAGCAAGATCGGAAACCTTTGAGAACAGGGATTTTGTTAGATACATAGTGTTTAACATAGTGATGGGTACTTAATAGAGCTTAGACATATGAGAGTCTGGTTAATATAATTGTGCATATTGCCCTACAAGTGAGATTTCAGTTTACTTTATAAAATCGTGCTAATCTGTTGTGTGTAATTAGATTGTAACTAATTATAAATTCCTGTAGATTTATATTAAGATTTTAGATTCATTTTGCAAATGTTCTGAAAGGACTTATTTGACTTTATGGTTTCAGATCTGGGTTTTTTCCTTCTCAAATTTCAAAACACAAAAGTGACTTTCTTTTGCGTACCTTGCTTTCCAAATGTAAAGCTGCATTTTGAATCATGAAGGAATTTGTTCTGAAGCATGTGTTCAAATTTTAGCTTGCAGTGAAATTCTGTAGGGCCAACAGGATATAGGAAGGATGCATGCGTATAAACTTGGCATTGGCAACTTTGAAGGAACCACTGAAATAACTTTCTTTAATGCATGGAACATCTGCTTCAACATCATGCAATTTCTTGGTTTCCTTTAAAATCTTGTTAAGGCATTTTATGAAACCTGTTTTATCGTATTTTTAACATGTTAATTCTTCCAGTGTCATTCATTGTCTTAAGGCTGTATTCTAATATGTTAAAAATTTACTTTTCACTTGTAACTGATAAATGTGGTTTGCAAAACAGCATTTTAAGAGGATTCTCAGCTCTCTATTTTATCCCCAAGCAGCAAAATCCAGGTTTATACTATGTAATGATATGCATGGGTTTATTTTCTATTTAGTAGGAGTTTCTAGGCCTAGTACATTAAATTTCAAGATCTATAAGTAACTTTAGTTTCTAAAAAGGAATCAAGATACTTAATTTTAAAAGGGATATCATAATAGGCTTTATAGACTATTTTTACATTATCTTTAATTATTAAAGCTTTATTAAATTTCATTCTGTAATGCTTTTAACCTTTCATATGTATTTTCTGATAGATGAGTAAATTTCTCCAGAGCCTTGAAAATGCTGAATTTCTTTTCTCTTTAAAGGTTCTTTCTTGTGGAGAGGTTATTCGTGTGAAGATCCTTGGAATTTTGGCTCTTATTGACCAGGGTGAAACAGACTGGAAAATAATTGCTATCAATGTGAATGACCCTGAAGCCTCAAAGTTTCATGGTAAGTCTGTAACTTTCCAGAAACAGAAGTAAATCAGTATGTCATTCGAATTCTTAGCATCTAAAGGGGGGGCTCATGTAAAACAGAATATGTATATTTGATTTTTTTATTCTCTTCATCCACAGATTACAAAGGAGAATCTATTATGATTGTCTCTGAGTTGTGTCATATTGCTAGGAAGAACAAGAAAGAGAAAAGGCTAGATAGACAGGTGGTACCTCAGACTAAGAAAATACAGTCTGTAGGTTCCCTCCCTCCTTCCTTCCTTTTTTTTGCTTAAATTTCTCTTGTTCATCTGAGTAAGTTGAAAACTAAGGAAGGCATGTTCATCAAGGACATACGCTGTTTCTGTATCTAGTTTTTGTCCTGTGTTGCAAAAATGGAGGGAAAGATAACTGTCCTTTGACAAAATTTTGATGTCCTAGAAATTTAAGTTCTAGAAATAGCTTGGTATGATAAAGAGTGGACTTTCTTCGGAGTCACACACACCTCAGTTTGAGTTCTGGCTGTGCTACTTTCTGAGTGATTTTGGGTAGATCATCTAACATTTGTGAATTTCAGTTTGGTCACCCATTAAGGGAGATAATTATATCTACTTGTGAGCTTGTCCACAGTAAGAGATGATTCACTTAAAGCATCTGGCTGTCATATCAAGTGTTGAATATATGGCCACTGTTATTATTCTCTATTTTTCCCCCCTATTTTTCTAGCGTTTTTTCTTTCAGTTTCATTCTTTTCGCGTTCCTGGTTTCTTCTAGGCCTCAGTTAGAAAATATGCCATTTCTGAATGGATGGGAACTCATTAACACTTAAGTGTTAACCTCTCTTATTTTATGTGCATTTAAAACCTTTTCTTGCACATGGAACAGCAAGAGATTTTATGCCATTCTTGAGTGTAATTGAGAAAGGAAAGGATCTGATAAGGTGAAGTACAAATAACCTCAGGGACAAAACTAAAACATAAAACTACAATTAAAATATGAGGCTTTAGTTCATAACCATATATATTTCTTGTCTGTCTTTTATTTTATCCTGGGTTTCTTTAGTATATTTCTCATATATATGTATGTAAGAGAAGCAAAATACACTGTTAAACATTCTTTAATGCATTAACTGCTCCTCAAATGAGAACTGATAAAATAATGGTGCAACAGCCAGTCAAAACAAATCACGTAACTAACTGATTGGTGATATGACACACTGAAGTTATGAAACTCTGCTAAGGGATGCCCCCTCTACACTGGAGAGGCTGAGTGCCTGAATGAAACTATGTGTTAGGTGGAATAAACTATTCTTTAGCCCAGTTCTGTTCCAGATGTGATTTAACTTTGTGAACTCTCATTATATGCCAAGCACTTGTACCTGTTCTAGTACATATTATTATTCTTAATTTAAAAGGTGCTCTAAGGATTTAAATAATTGGCTCAAGTTTGCACATCCATTACATAGTAGAACTATGATTTGAACTCATTTCTGTCTGATTATAAAGTCCACTGTCTATCTATAATATTGTACTAAGCAGTTAATACTTGATTGTAGTAATTCGTGGTTTTTGTAACTAGCAGTATTATTGAAACAAGATTACATAAGGCTAATAACTACCTCATGTTTCTCTTGAGTTTGCTAAGGGTTAGAATGAAAAGTTCTCTTTCTTTACTTTAATTCTATTTGTTTCCTGAATGGAGATGACTTTGCACTTTGGCATCTTCTAAATTCTTTTTGTGTATGTTTGTACAAAAAGACACACCGGAAGGAATACTGAAGCTTATTTAGGTTGAGGTGACATCAGACCAGAATAATTACAAGAACTTGTTGAGTACTATTGACATATTTTGCTCTGAAATGATGTGCTGACATTGTGTTTTGTATTTATTTCCTGAATGAGTAAGGAATATGGGGGGAAATGGATATTATTTACTTTAAGGATATTTGCCTATTGTTCACTCTGGGTAGTACCTTAAGTAATCATATATGTAGATTTTGTAGAGTAAGTTATTCTATAGTTTTAAGAGTTTGAAATGTTTTATTCTTAATTCCTTTTGCCTTCACCTTATTGTGATATATTCTACGTATCTGTATTGAATTTTTTCTCTCTTTTTATAGTGACCCAAGAAAAAAATAGATACAGGCACAAAGGCTGAAGAAATCATAGTAGAAATTTTTTAAATTATAAATCATGGAATACTAGATGACTCTATGTGGCAGAGTCATAATAATTATTAATTATTTTTAATTTAAGCTCAAGTTTTTATTTATACTTGTTGTATCTCTCAAACATGATCCAGCTGTTCTCTCAACTATTTCAGACAAAAGACAGATTTTGTTGTCCTGCTGCTTGAGCAAATGTTAATTGACAGAAATCATTCTTTTTTTTTTTTTAAAGTTTTATTTATTTATTAGAGAGAAAGAGAAGTGGGGGGAAGGGACATAGAGAATCCCAAGTAGGCTCCACATGGTCAGCATGGAGCCCAATGTGGTGCTTGAACCCACGAACTAGAAATCATGACCTGATCCAAAACCAAGAGTTGGATGCTGAACCAACTGAGCCACTCAGGTGCCCCTGACAGAAGTCATTCTTAATTTTACTTTTTTTTCTTCATTATTTAGCCTGGTGTGTTGTTTGTGTTTTCATTACCACCTACTAAAGTGGGGCATTAGAGGGGATGAGAACTGAGAGATGCTCCGTAATTGCAGGGGTGGAAACCTTCCTAAATTTGTGAAGAAATTAAAAAAAAAAAAAAACAAAAAACAGTTCATATGATTTGATTATGATATTTAATAGTCTTCTATTATAATAATTTATCTTCTCAAGGTACCTACCGTGTAGTTCAGTAAGAGCCTAAGTATTGTAAGCATGTGGCTTATTTTATATGTTCCAGATTAAAAATTGACCTTTGGCAGGAGAGAGGAGACCTTACAAACAAATAAAGGAATCAATTTCTTGATTTCTAGATTAGATGAAATACCTATTATAACAACTTGTGATTTTATTGCAGTAAGATAAAAATGTATATTTGGACCCATATGATTAAATAAATATTAGCTAACAGATAATCAAGTTTGTTGCTGTTCTCTCTCTACATCTTTGAAAATTAACAATATTTAATCATAAATTAAGCAACATTTAAACATTTTATTATGTGTCCATTCCACATCTAACCTTCCAGAATCACAAACACAGTGTTTTGGATGGCATTTTTAATTATAAAAATAATCATATGCTTGGAAATAAAAACTCAGAAGTGTAAAAATACAAAATAAAAAGTACAATTCTCCTTCCCACTTCTCACGCCAGTCTGACTTCTCCAGTCTGTATCTTCTTCCTTGTATGTTTTTAGTTCCCCTGCACAGTTGTTTCTCTACTCAAGCATTGTATTTCTTAATTTATGTCTTTCCTTTTGACTCAAGTTGCTGCTCCAAAAACTTAGGAATTTAATTTTCTTATACATTTTTAAATTATGTTACTGTATTTCTTCTTCGATTATGTTAATAGCTCTAATTATTATACTTTGGGCATTATTTATCACTTGATTACTTTTGAACAATAAATTGTGGTTGCCCAGTACAAAACCAGGGCATGGAGGTTTCTGCACTACTTCTCTGTCCTTTTCAGACCAGTTTCTCTGACCTGTACAGTAGCTCCACAGTGGCTAATTTTATCATATTTAAATTCTGTTCTTTAACTGTTTTTCATATTTTGTCTCTTGAGTCTGAAAATTGAAAAATAACAAATAACATTTATAGTGTTTATGTGAATAATACTATTATTCACCTCCTTTATCATATTAATTATGGACACAAGAGAATAGCTTGCTGCACAGCGATCATCACAGGGTTTCTTTTCATTGCCCTGGGTTAATAGTTCTGTTTTTCTTAGATTCTTTCATGTCCTCTTTTTCATTTTCATTGTTGGCTGGTGTAAATTTTCCAAAAATTTTTACATGACATGGTTGGGAGATTGATTCTGAGTCCATACATGTCAGAAATGTCTTTTTTGGGGTCACTTTCTACTTAAATAGCTTTAAAATACCTAATGCAATAACTTAAAAAAATTACTGTGTATAATTTGGGATTTTATCACAAAGGAGTGATTTTATAACAGTGTAAATATTTGTTGTCTTTACTTCTTGGAATTTTTATTAGATCAATAGGAAGAAAGGTTAAAATCATGTAGGGGAAGGGATAGCTATCTATAATTTTTTTTTAATTCGGTAGTTTTCTGAGGATGTGTGTAATACAGAAATTTATAAAGAAATTTTTGTTCATTTTCATTGTTGTTTAGACATTTAAAAAATAAATCCCTCATTAATTTCCACTATCTTAAGAAAAAACAAGCTGTTTTTTGACATGATCAGTACCTATGTTTTCTTTTTTGAAAAAAAGAAGTCTGTTTTAATTTACTGACAGTATGTCCTTCTTTATTTCCATAATATTTTTAAAATTTTTTGGAGAATTATTACAATTCTACAAGGAAGTTTTAGGGTTGTTGTATTATGAAATCACTTCTTTGATCCAGATCATATATGTGCAGACTGTGGTAGGCTGTAATGACCTGTTCTAATATTTGTAGTTTTTAACTTTGACATGGCTGAACTAAAACTAGCCATTGCATCAGAGAACGTATTTCAGTTAGAAACTGTGATTGCTGGCTGTATTTCTGTAATTTTAATCTTATTATTTAAATCTTCCAGGTTTTTCTTCTGAAGCAGAAATAGCCATGGTGAAACTCCAAAAAGAAAAGTCTAAATAACATTTAAAAACAAATTTCTTGTGTTCCCTGGTAGAAAATCAGTCACTTTGGCTGGCTCATTAACACCTGGAGAGCACTAAGACCTTTTAATACCCTGTAATTAGGTTCCAGGCTCTAATGCTCTTAATGGTACCTTAATGGCCTGAAAGAGTTAATAAGACTCCCAGGGCTCCTAAATTGTTACTAGAGAATGCCTTTGGCCATTAGGGATAATAGTGCTTGGTTATGAAATAACCAAGTTCAGAGCTTT